GAGGAAAGGAAAGGAAAGGAAAGGAAAGGAAAGGAAAGAAGGAATATAGTGGGGAAGGGAAGGGAGGGAAGCGAAGGAAAGGAAAGGAGAGAAGGAGAACGAGAAGGAGAAAGGGAGAAAAGGAAAGGGAATAGAAGGGAACGGAAGGGAAGGAGAGAAAGAAGGAGAAGGAGAAAGGGAGAGAAGGAAAGGAAAGGGAAGGGAGGAGAGGAAAGGAAAGAAAAGGGAGTAGGGAAAGGAAAGGAAAGGAAGGTGGGAGGGAAGGGAAAGGAAAGGAAAGGAAAGAAGGAAAGAAAAGAAAAGAAACAAAAGTGAGTAGGGAAAGGAAAGGAAAGGAAAGGAAAGGGAGGAGAGGAAAGGAAAGGAAAGAAAAGTGAGTAGGGAAAAGAAAGGAAAGGGGGGAGGGGAGGGGAGGGGCACAAAATCCATCCCACACCAACCTTGCCCAGGGACCAGTCTTTCTACAGATTCATCTCCTTCCTTGTCTCTGTGAATGTGTAAGTGGGAGACAAACTCACCTCGCTTGACCCTCTTCAGCATCTTCTGATTGTGCTCCTTCAAAACCTTCAGAGACTGCTTCTCCGCACACTCCTCTTCTAGCTTTGTTCAAAAAACAAAACAAAAACAAAAAAGGAAGGAAGGAAGGAAGCAAGCCAGAAAAAAAAAAAAGAAAAACGATATTCTCGTCATCGTCTTCCGCTCAGAAAATGTATAGAACGTTAAGAAACTATAAAAGTTTTCTTTTTTTAAAAAAAAAAAGAGGAGGCCTCCTTCACCAGAAGGAAATTGCTTGCGTTAAATCTGTTTGAGGAGCCCTTTGTCTCCCCCCCCCCCCAAAAAAAACCTCTAGGCCAGGGTTTCTCAACCTGGTCTCCTTTAAGATGGGTGGACTTCAACTCCCAGAATTCCCCAGCCAGCATGGCTGGCTGGGGAATTCTGGGAGCTGAAGTCCACCCATCTTAAAGGAGACCAGGTTGAGAAACACCACTGCAGGCCCTACTCCATCGTACCTGATGCTGGAGCCTTCCCACAAGAGCCTGGAGTTCCTTCACCTGGGTGGTCAATTCCTTCTTCTCCTCCAGCAGCCCTGACACCTTGAGTTGAAGGTCTGGAGCAAAGGAAGACCCTGTTATCTTGTAGAAGCCTCTGGGACCTGCCTGGGGGGGGGGCAACTACTCAGGGGGTCCCTCTTGGAGGTCAAGACTGGTGGGCCTCATTTCCAAGGACCTCCTCTTCTCGTTTGGAAGAATAAAGCAGCTTTTTTTTTAAAAAAAAATGGGGAGGGCATGGTGTGGATTGCGAGGGGCTGGACTGACACGGAGCTAAGAAAAACACCACACCAAGCTCTGGAAGAAAGAAAAGAAAAGGAAAAAAAGAAAGAAAGAGAGAGAGAGAGAGAGAGAAAAGAAAGAAAAAGAAAAAGAAAGAGGGAGGGAGGGAGAGAAAGAAAGAAGGAAGGAAAGGAAGGAAGGAAGGAAGGAAGGGAGAGAGGGAGAGAAAGAAAGAAGAAAGGAAAGAAAAAGAAAGGGAGGGAGAGAGAGAGGGAGATAAAAAAGAAAGGAAGAAAGAAAAGAAAGGGAGAGAAAGAAGGTAGGAAGGGAGAGGAAAGAAGGAAGAAAAGGAAGAAGGAAGGAAGGAATGAAGAAAAAAGAAAGAGACAAGGAAGGAATGAAAGGAGGGAGGAAGGATAGAGAAAGGGAAGAAAGGAGAAGGTAGAAAGGGGAAGGGAGGAAAGGAAGGAAGGAAGGAGGAAGGAAGGCATGAAGAAGAAAGGAAGGAGAGACGAAAGAATGAAGGAGGGAGGATAGAAAAAGGGAAGAAAGAAGAAAAGGTAGAAAAGGAGAGAGGAAAGGAAGGAAGGAAGGAAGGAGAGACAAGGAAGGAATGAAAGGAAGGGAGGATAGAAAAAGGGAAGAGGAGAAAGAAGGTAGAAAGGAAGAGGGAGGAAAGGAAGGCATGAAGAAGAAAGGAAGGAGAGACAAGGAAGGGATGGAGGAAGGGAGGGAGAAAGGAAAGAAGGAAGAAAAAGAAGGAGAGACAAGGAAAATGAAAGGAAGGGAGGATAGAAAAAGGGAAGAGAGGAGAAAAGGTGGAAAGAAAAAGGGAGGAAAGGAAGGCATGAAGAAGAAAGGAAGGAGAGACAAGAAGGAAGGGAGGGAGGGAGGGAGGAAGAAAAAAGGAAGGAAGGAAGGAAATGGCGAAGGAAGGAATGGCCGTGGCCCTAAGACTATTATTCAGATTACCTTTACTTTTTATTTCTACATCTGTAGACTTCGCTTCCCCCCCCCTCCCTCCGCAGCCCATCCACTCTCCCTTCCAGGGGTCTCCGGACTGCCAGAGGGGTCCTTTCCACCTGGGCAGAAGAGAGGAGGAGGAGGAGGACCCCCTGGCTCACCTTTGACCTGCTGAAGGCACCTGCCCATCGGATCCAGCGCAGAGTCAGGAGCGGCGCCTTCTCCGCCGCCGCTCAAGCCCGCTGGGTCTTCCTGGTGGAGCGCCAGCCCCGGCAGCAGCGCCAGGCTGATCCGCTGCAGCTTCTTGTTCTCCCTGCTCACCTGTGGAAGTCAAGAGGGGGTGGCAGAGTTGCGTAGAGGGGGTCCTCCCCGGCCCCCGGTCGGAGGGGACCCCTCCTCACCTGGATGGCAAAGGCTTCCGCCTGCTCTCGGCAGCTCTTCTCGATGGCATACTCCATCTCCATGGTGGACAACTCAGCTAAGAGGGCTTGAGAAGCTGGGAGTGGGAAGAGCGAGACAAAGGGGGGGGTGTTAGAGCAATGCCCCCCCAAACTAGCAACCCTCATCGGGGGGCCAAGCTGTTCCACCGGTTAATTGTCCTCACTGTTAGGAAGTTTCTCCTTAATTCCAGGTTGCTTCTCTCCTTGATCAGTTTCTAACCATTGTTTCTCGTCCTGCCCTCTGGTGCATTGGAGAATAAATTGACCCCCATCTTCTTTGGGGGAGCCCTTCAAGTACTGGAACGTTGCTATCATGTCTCCCCTATTTCTTCTTTTCTCTAGACCAGCCAAGCCCAAGTCCCACAGCCGGTCTTCGTATGTTTTAGTCTCCAGGCCTTGGATCGTGTCAGCCCTGATCCATCTTTTTGTTAAACTAGACCAATGGTGGCGAACCTATGGCACGGGTGCCAGAGGCGGCACGCAGAGCCCTCTCTGTGGGCACGCACACCGTCGCCCCAGTCCTAGGCCTTCAGCTGGGTTTTATAAAACCTTTTTGCTTTAGGCCTCCACCGCTGTGTGGGAAAAAAAAAAGGTTCAATTAATCAATCAATTTCAACTTCTCGCGGGGAAAAAAAAAGATCTTGCAAAGTTGGAATTGATTGATTGAACGTTTTAGTCCCACCCCGTCTGCCGTTACCACCGCAGCCACGCCCACCCAATGGGCCACGCCCACCCAATGGGCCACACCCACCCAGCACTCGACGATGCATAAGTGGGTTTTGGGTTGCAGTTTGGGCACTCGGTCTCTAAAAGGTTCGCCATCATAAACTAGACATACCCAAGTTGGTATCTGCCATGGGCCTGAATTTTTAGATGGGGAGAAATGACCCCCTCCTTTTGATCCCCCTCATTTTTCCTCCACCTGGACCTAGAGGTTTTCTTTCTTCCACCCCAAAAAGCTGAATCGGCAGCATTGCGCGTCCTTCCGCTTAGAGAAGCAGAGACTCTAGAAAGAGTACAGAGAAGAGCAACAAAGATGATTAGGGGACTGGAGGCTAAAATATATAAGGAACGGCTGCTGGAATTGGGGATGTCTAGTTTAATGAAGAGAAGGACGAGGGGGGACAGGATGGCAGTCTTCCAGTATCTCAGGGGCTGCCCCAAAGAAGAGGGAGTCAAGCTATTCTCCAAAGGACCTGAAGGCAGGACAAGAAGCAACGGGTGGAAACTGATCAAGGAGAGAAGCAACCTAGAACTAAGGAGAAACTTCCTGACAGTGAGAACAATGAACCAGTGGAACAACCTGCCTCCAGAAGCGGTGGATGCTCCAACACTGGAAGTCTTTAAGAAGAGACTGGACAGCCATTTGTCTGAAATGGTATATAGGGTTTCCTGCCTGAGCAGGAGGTTGGACTAGATGACCTCCAAGGTCCCTTCCAACTTTACTATTATTATTATTATTATTATTATTATTATTATTATTATTATTATTATTATTATTATTATTATTATTATTATTATCATCATCATCATCATCATCATCATTATCAAAAGGCGCACTCTGCATCTCCGCCTAGACACGTACCTTGCTCAATTTCTGCCATTTTTTCTTTGGTTTCTGCCATTTCCTGGGAAAGGTCCGTCTCCTGTAAAAATGAACCAAACTTCACATTGGTCTGCTACTGTGTTGGTTTTTTTATTTTTTGTTTAAATTCTGGGAGTTGAGGATCCACAGGTCTAGGCCAGGGGTAGGCAACCTTGGCTCTTTTATGACTCGTGGACTTCAACTCCCAGAATTCCTGAGCCAGCCATGCTGAGGGAAAAGGGAGAGCGTTCCAAGCTGAGCCATGCTGGCTCAGGAATTCTGGGAGTTGAAGTGCACCAGCCATAAAAGAGCCAAGGTTGCCTCCCCCTGCCCTAGACTAGAGGAGCGGAAATGAGGGAGTGGTTGATTTGAAGAATGATCCTCAAAGAAATCCGTAGAGATCCTCAGTCAATCCAGGTCCTGGTTGTCCCAAAGCTGTTTTTCCAGGAGGCCACTGGACTCCCTTGTTTTTCTTTGAAGATGTTTCGCTTCTCATCCCAGAAGCTTCTTCAGTTCTGACTGGACAAGAAAGTCCAGTTGCCTCCTGAAAAAGCCCCTTGGGGACGTCCTCAAAGAAGCCAGATTAGGCCGTGCGCTCTGTCTGATGTGGCCTCTTCTGAAGATGGGGCCGGAGCTGCGGCGTCTGGAGAGCCACCTACCTG